ATTAAACAATTTTATCATTCCTCTTTAAATGAGAGCTTTAAAACTTCTATCCTGTGGTTAGCATGTTAGCCCTCTCAGCACCAAACTTGTCTTCATTAAAAACTGGGAACACATTGTTTTTAAAAATAAACCATACCTTGCTGCTACAAAGCTATTAATCTTAGAATGCTTCATTTTGGCCAAGAGACTAAAATAGCAGCCCAAACACTTACTAACAATGGGATGCAACATCTGTAGCTGAGCTTAACGCATGAGCACACAGCTTTGCTTCCCTAAATGCACAAAACACTGACTGTTCTAAAATTAATTACATTTACAGCAGATGGGGAAGGGGGAAGAGAAGGTAACTCTCAAAGCTCATTCTGAAAAAAAGCCAAGATAAACCCCAGGCATAACCAGAAGAAAGAGCCCTGCTATAAAATGTTAACATTGTTCTATTTTGTTTAAGGCATCACCCTCCTGCATTACTGAGTCTGTGCTGAATACCAGAAACTGCTTGTGAGGAGTAAGGCTGGAAGGGCTCCACTTGGGAAAGCCACAAGCAAATCTCTGCAGGACTTGACAAAACATGGGGGTTTGCTTCTGAAACTTCTTTGGTGCAAATCCTGTATCAAAGCAGTGCCTTGCACCACCTCAAGATGCCAGCTAGCTCACCTCAAGAGAGTTGTACCAGCTCCACGAGGCCTAGCCAACTGACAGATGGGAGGAGTTGCTCCCTGTCAAGGAATCACTGAGTCCCACTGAAATGCAGCCACTTCTGCAAGGAAAAAAGGACAAGCATTGGTTACCACAAAGGAAAAAAAAAAAAAAAATAGAGAAAAGTAGGGAAAGAATTTACAGCTCCTCTAGGGTGAATTAACTACGCCATCATCTGAGCTGGAATTTAACAACACTGCAATTAACACCTCTGGCAGATGGAAAAAGTCAGAGTAGGTGTGGCAAACCTTCTTGTTCCCCAAAGCCTTATCTCACTGTCTGCATCTTCATGGACAGTACTGATGTTTTGTTTAGCTTTGGAGGTGTCAGAGAACTGTGTGCCTTGCACTGCATTGGAGAAACAGATAATTCCTGCATATTTCTGCACCTTAACCACACTGATGGTGTAAGGACCCAGCCCACATGCATTCTTTGTGTTCTCAGGTCCCAAGGAATTTATTGAAGAATATTATCTGCAAATCTACATGCAGTAGTGAGATTTCTTCTGCCACTGCTTTTCACTTGCAGATTTACATGCCAAGGCAAAAACAATCCTGCTACTTAAATTCTAAAGCCTGTGCAAAACAAGACCTGGCTGCAACAATTCCGTAAACACTCTGGCTCAAGGCTGCTGCATTTCCCACCCCAATCCAAGTCAGCACAAGACTGGCAGGCTGGACCAGCAAGGCCCCTTGACACCCACAGTTCCCAGGCTCTCCTATCGTCCCTCTGAACTTGGAAGGTGTTGGCACATCAGATGCGACTGTCATGTGTTGCTTTGCCTACAAGATCACTCCACTTTACAGGAGCAAGCTATTTCTCTTCTGCTGACTCATCTGCAGGCAAATACTACTAAACTTTGCACTCTGCCAGCTGTCTGCAGAGAATTGCCTTGACACATGGGCAGCACTAAAGTAAGAGCTTCAGGGAAAAGGAGCAAGTCCTGTCACTCAGGCAATTCCCCTGACAGGCTGTATAGTACCAAAATGACCCTGCATTCCTCCATCCAGTGGAGAAGAGAATCCCTTTCCCCTTGTTCTCCCCCACCTCCAACCCCAAGTTTACAATTAACTTACTGGTGCGTATCCCTGTAGAGGTCTGTTGAAGACAGAAAGACTCAGAAGACGTTTATGACAGAAGACTCATCACAGATTTCTCTTCAACCCATGCTTAAAAATCTTGCCCAGTCTCCAAGGCAACTTCATTCCCAGCCCAAGCTTGCCAGGCCCAGCTCTGCCCCAGTCTTCAGAGTAGAAATATCTGCTTAAAAACTGAGTGCTAACGGCTGCGTCCCAGCCTGCATCTGCTCTATCTACACAGCCTAAGTCCTCAAACCCCTTTCTATAAAGGTTACTGCAGGATCTGGTAGGCAGATTCCTGTCTACACTTATAACACAGGCTGCTTCAGCTACTCTGGCTGAGCAAAAGCAGCTATCTTGCAGCATATTAATAGCCACATGAACATATAAAAGGGATTCTAGTTCAGCCAGTGCTTTACACTGGTATACAATGGCATCCAGACGCAGATCTTTGCTATACTTCCTGAAACAAACCCCCAAACCTTGCACCCTCTACTGATCCAGGGAGGTTCATAATATCTTTTCAAGCAGAGCCCAAGCAGAGAGATCTGGTACCTATGTCCTGCAGTTGGTGAAAAGATGCTGCTGTTCACCAACAAAGTCCCCAATGGCTTAAGACAATTCTAATACCACAATTGAAAACAGTGCTGCATGATCACCTGGGCAGAGCTGCTATGAAATACATACACAAAGAGAACCTGGTGGCAAGATTTTCTCCATGAATTTGCAGCCATTCTGGGTATATGATAACCTGAGGCACTGAGTGTCCCAGCCTGTGACAAAGCCTCTGCTGTAGCTAGCAAAGACGAAAGAGGAGGGTTTATGCAGAGTATCAGAGAGGATTCAGAGCCTACCCAGGAACAGTAAAGTACACGGATGAGTTGCCATTCTATCCTGACTTTTGTGTCAGGAGTTTTTTGTGTTGAGTTGCATGTATGATTTGGTTTTGGGGTTTAACGGAGCCTTTTGCGACTTCAGGAAGCAATCTCCTTTAGTAGGCTTACACATCAATACCAAGCCCTTGCTCCAACAATTATTTTTTGTGGCTCACCCTACAGTAATTTCAAGATAATTATAATCTAGATTTTGAACCAGGAAACTTCCAAGTCATAAACTGAAATAATTCCGTAAGTACAGCAAATTCCTTCAGGAAATAAAGCACAGGTGTTTGTCATCTGAATTTCAAAGCAAATACAGTGGCTGTGCTCAGGTCCAGGAGTCCTGCAGATAGAAAGCCAGCAGTATTTGCTTCTGACCACATGCTAGCCCCACACTATGGACCTGGTGCTGCAAATGCATGGGGGGGGATGGAGGAGAGAGGACCACCTGCAGCATCCCGCCCCTCCCTCCACAGCGCACAAGGGCCATTGAGGAGCATGGCAGCTCTCAGAATTCCAGCAGACTTTAATTACAAAACGATTAATCAGTGCAGCACAGACTTTGGTGGACACAAAAAAAGCGGGTTAGAGAGAACGTGTGCCTGCGCAGCAGCTAGGTCACACCTCCCCTCTCCGCAGCCAGGGCCACCTCTTCGTCATTCTGCTCCTTCCTCCCCACCCCAGCCCTTGGCTTCATCCCCTGGGCCGAGGGATGTCCCCCACAGTCCCCATGCTCCAACCCCTGGGGGGTGTACTCCCAGAGTTTCCTCCAGCATCTGCTACTGCCTCCTCTCGCCTGCCCCCACCGCGGCCCATCCTGCCGCCCCCCGAGCATTGTGTCCGAGCTCCAGGCTCTCCCTAAGCTCCCTCCAAGGAGAAGCAGCGCACCACGACCCTCCCCAGCAGACACTGCACCCCTATCCAAAGCCAAGCACCCCACGTCCCTACCAAGCAGCCCCCTTGCCCCACAGCGAGCCCAGGCAGGGCTGCCTCATGCTTAGCCACTAAGCTGGAGAGAGGTCCCCGCTGACCCTGCAGGGCACAGAGAGGAGCCCCCATGACGGGCACTCCTCTGGTCCCACAGCAAGCACCCTGTCCCCTGCGCCCCCCCTCCCCAGCAGACAGACCCTGCAGCCACCCCAGAGCCCCACGGCCCGCTACATGCCACCGGTGCATACAGTCCCGGCCGCCGCCACCTACCAGCAAGCCGCCGTCCGCACGCTCCGCCGCCGTCCAGCCAAGCCCGAGCCTGGAATCTCCGTTCCGGCTCACAACACCGCCCCCCCCCCAGCCCTGCGCTGGCCTCGTATGTGTCGGATGCCCCAGGTTCGGACAGGGGGGCCAGCAGCGGAAGAAAGGCCAGCGGAGATTTGCTGCTGCCAGCCACAACCTCGCCCCACGGCCCTTCATGTGCCCAATGTAGATTCAGAGGATCGTGAAAGGAGGGAGCCAAGCACCCCTAGAGCAGCCCGGGCTGCTCTGGGCCATGGTGGTATTGTGTAAGCACCCTCTATTTCCCACCAGCGAAAAAGGAGAGGAAACCACGTTCAAACAAACATCACCGAGAAAGAGGACTATGCTGCCTCCAGTGTTGGAGTGAAAGAGTGGTTCTAAAAGATGCATCGTAATTTGTTACTCCCCTGCTTCCCAAGCTGCGTGGGTAGAGTGCGTTTCCGTCCCAACAGTCAGTAAGGGTAGGGTTCAGAATTCACCTCTCCCCACTTCAGCACTGTAAAAGCTATTAATGCCACTGAAATGGTTCAGCTGTGCTTGCTGCTTGGTCAGCACAAAGAGAAAGGTCATCACCACAGAGCCACTCATCCCCATCTTCCAACAGGCACCTGAGATGTGCTCTGATGGCACCTGCTCTCAGGAACTGACCCGGTCCTCTAACATTTGGGGAGATTAGAGGCTTCAGCACTCCTTTTTAGTATACAACGGCTGTTTCTATAAACAGCCTTTCTGTTTAGGCTGTTTCTAAAAGGGCTGCTCTTTTCTGGAGTTCTAACAAGTTGCACCAAACTAATGAGGAGTTACAACAGGGAGGAGTTTAGTAGTCATGAGGTATGCAGGCTGGTGGCCTGACCTGATGTCCCAAATACCTTGTCTCCCTATCAGTTAATACCATCTCATGTGACACAGCTGGGATTCACAGCCCAATTGCTATGGGAGTCACAGGAACAAATCTGGATAACCAGAATAAGAGGTCAGCTTTATGGGTTAATTTACAGAGAAGCCTCAGAAAATGCTCATCTGAGAAGCACAGACAAATCATCCAGGCTAGTGCATCTTGTAGAGTGGAAGGAGAAATAGTGGAAATGGCAAGGGACAACACAAGGAGAGGAAATACTAAATACATAGATTTTATTATCTTACATTTCTTACAAATATTTAATCCATTTCAGAAAATTAACAAACATAAAAGCAACAGAACCCTTTCAGGATGAAAGTTGAGTTTGCCTTAAAAACAACGGCTACTGGCAATACAGTTCTAGGACAAACCCAACACACTATATAAAATTGAAGGGCGATTTAAATAAAGGACATAATAGTACTGTACTTAAAGCTATATTGATATCCACAAAGAAGAAGGAATGTTGTAGTGTGTAGAACAGGTGTGAGGCATGCTTTGTGGAGCTGTTATTTTGTTATGCTTTTGTGCACTTGAACAAAAAATACCCTAAGGCATTCTCCCTCACCTCTGTCCTTCTGTGCAACATTTACCATCTTCAGTAGTAGAAGCAGCCAAATGCAGCTACTACACAAAACAGGCTGTCCTGGGGAAAACAAAAAGGCTCTGCATTAGTGCAGGCAAGCTCTTTGCTAGCCTAGCTGCAAAAGGCTGAGCTAAGGCAACATTTAGTCCAGAGCATAACCCTGTCCTGGGGTAGATCGCACATTTCTGTCTCTTAATTAGTTTCTTACTCACCTCACTTGTGGTGTAACTTAGCACAGTCTGTCTGAATGTCAGAAGTGCCTCAGTTTACTCCCTCCACACACCCACAGGTGTCTAGGTGTCAGTTTAAAATAGTAAGAAAAAAAAAAAAGAAAGAAAACCTTGGCTTTTGCTCAGTCCTGGATTCCAGCCGTACTCCACAACAGCAGTTCAGCAAACCATGCAAGAAAATACTTTCTTGCCATTGATTCCTCTCCCCAGCTGTAAAATGGTGTGACTATAATGACTTTTGCACAGCACTATATGACCTACTCAAGAAATAAGTTCTACTATGTTGGATATGATATCTAAGTAAGTTTTGTGAAGATGTAAATCATACTGTTTCAATAGTCTTGGTTCCTTCCTTCTAGTGGCTGTTTTTTTCTGCTCCATATTTAAGGTTGCTCTACCTCTCACACAAAAGCAAGGAGCTTTACACTTTCCCATGGTAAACCAGTTGATACTTACATTCGTGAACACATCGTGAGCACAGCTGTCATTGTCAGCATCCCAGAAACATCGCGCAGCCATGCTAGACAAAGGACACAGAGTTGAGCCATCACCCACAAGGTTCACATATAAGGACCTTAGCGATCAAACTGAAATTTTTTTAAAGATAAAGGAAATGGGAAGAATTCTCCTGAATTCTAAGCCTAGATCCCCACTGCTAAATTCCACCACATGCTGTAACCCCTTCCGTATCTGGATCAAGCTTGATCTTGAAACTCCTCAGCTGTCAACCACCTGCACTGTGCAGCAGGGCTTGAAACCTCATCGCTATGATGCTTAAGAATCTTTGACTTCTGGCCTGTGCATCAGTGGCTAATATAGCTTATTTGTTCTTGTCCTTCACCTCCTGTACCCTCATAGTACATACCCACAACATATTTATAGGGAGCTATCGTATTCCTTGGCAGACGTTGTGTTACTAGACCATGAGCTAAACTCTTCTAGTCCTCACGTATCTATACTCTATTCCGTGACCATGCTGCTGGCCTTTTTGTACACCTGCTTCAGTCCAAGGCTTACCTTGAAGACAAGCAACCAGACTGTAACAGAATATCACAGATGAGACCTCAGTGCTGCCTTGTCTAGGGTCATTGACACTCCCCTTTCCCTGCTGCAAATGCCACCTCCCTGCTTGCCCCAGTCAGTCTCAGCTGACAGGGTCAATGTTTGTGGCAGAGCATGTTGTTCCTAGTCCCTAGACATACAACTCATTTTAGAAGTCTGTTGAATTTAATCCTTCCCCCCCCCCCCCCATTTATTTAGTTTTTCCCTATTACCATAGCTCTCAGGGTTACTCTGCTTTTTATTCAGTCCAATATTCCACTCTGCCTCTGGAATACCCTGGTTTCCCAGTATTTTGCATTAACGATGTTAGCAATCATGCTTCAGTCTCGCCTCCTGCCTACTGCAAACCAGAAAATTTTCCCAATTGCTCTATCAGCTTGTGCTGGGCTTCACTTTTCAAATCAGACCACTTCATTGAACCATTCACTGCTTCTGAAGCAGTCTGCCTGCAGAGAGACATTCCTAACAAAAGCCTGAGCAGCAGGTATAGATATTCCTTCCTGACCTCCAGAACATTGGGGCCACAGATCTGATTACAGCTCTGTTGCACTTATCTTCTGCTGCTGGAGCACCGGCCACAATAATAAAGATAAGCCCAGTAGATAAAGCATATAAACCTTGTAGGCTGTTCTCTTTCATTTTCTCCCTACTCACTAGTAATGGAAAACTACAGCCCACTACTGCAGCTGAAGAGGAATTCTTTTGTGCAATTGCAGTTATCTGGGGCTAAACTAGAACTTCGTCTAGGCTTGGTTCCCGTTACAGTATGGTATAAGGATTATAGAAATGTAAACTTCTTAAATGCCTACCTGGGGGGGATTAAATGCACAGCAAGAATTTATGGAAATCTGGCTTTAGACAGAAGTGGGTTACCCTGGCTCTTGTGCTCCAGCCAGAACTTGAGAATGGACTGGGTGTGTGCTCTAGTTCATTGTGAATACAATTTAAAATGCCTTTCTGCAACACTCATCACAAATGCTTTTCAGCATTTCTGCTTGCTAAGAACCCCTGTACAGCCAGTTATCATGAGGTAATTCAACCAAGCACAATCCAAGCTCTCACTTACCACTTTAAGAGAAAAGAAAGTGCTTTACACTTTATCATCTGCAGAGAGAACTTTGTACCTAGGAAATCTGGAAACAGCTTCCAAAGCAGAAAAAACCCAAGCAAGCAACCAACCAACAAAAAAAAACTCAACCCGAACCTGAACCCAAACCCAACAACACCCAAACCCGACAAAATTTATAGAAATACAATTAGAAGACTCAAAACTTACTTCACTCCTTCTCCTCTCTGCTCTCCAATCACGACCTGCACCACCATTTTGTACCTGTCAAATCCCACCTCTGGAGAGAGAGAAAAAAATCATAGTGAGAGCAACTACTTTTTTAAAATAGGAGCTCAAAACAGGGCCCACAAAGCTAAAGATTTCTACAAAGCAAGTGTCTTGTACAAGCCTATACATTGGCAAAGCAGACAGACTACCTTGCAGCTTCATCTTCCTAGGTACAGAGTACCACAATTTTATTGGAGTTAAAGGGTGAACAGGGCATTAAGCATCATCAGAAGATGCATCTAAGGCAGAAGACACCCCTGAACAGCCACACAACTTGTCAGCATTCTACCTTAACAGCTTTCAGGAGCTGAACACATAAAAAGAATGGTGGACAAAATCCAATTTGAAGAAAGTTGACTTATTTTAAAACTGTTCTTGTGCAAAAGCATTGTAGAAATTCTTCTGCCACATAGTTGTTTCCTTTACTTCTCACCTGGGATAAAAGGCCACATAAAAGCATATGTGGGTGTATGTTATGTGTCTGCAAAGATATGCAGCTGTTTTACAATAGTAAAGAAATACTTTTGGAGAACAGGACAGATCCAGTCAGGCCATGGCAATGTTCCAGAAGCCAAATGAGAACAAGCATGTTTAAAATAAATATAGATCCTAATGCCTGTCTTCAACAAATCAGTGTCCTGGGAAGATTCTGGTGCACTGTTTCCACTGGAGGACTAAACACTACGTGCTGGGTTCGGTAACATCCACCCTGTCAATGCTCATCAGAAATGCCAGCTAATACACTGGGCCAGTCTCACTTCAGGCAACTGTGACTGTGTTTACAGATTCCTGAAGCCAAGCCCTGTGCATATTAGCTCAGCATCAACTCGTGCTGGGACTACAGCTGCTGCTGGCTTTAAACAGATGTGTAACTCTGGGAGAAGTGTAAATTCAGGGTTCCTGCCGAGGGTTACAGTAGCTCTGTGCCAACGTGTCAGGCCAGCCCAGCAGATGGAGCACCAGCCTGTTCTCAGGAAGAAGACCAAAAAAAAAACAACAAAACACGTGACTGCGCCAACACAAGTCTATGGACTTACTCCAGCAGCAAACACAAGGAAACACCTGATGGAGCCTGAAGTTTAATTCTTGAGCTCAAAAATGGTGGAGGGCATCCTGTGCAGAACCACCACAACCCTTCCCAATGCTGTAAGGCTGTAGTCACACCCCTCCTTGGAGAATGCTCCTCATTCTCTCCCCCTTTACTGCTCCCATTGAGCCTTGTTCTGATCTCCCTGCTATTCACTCTGATGTAACACTGATCTACTTGCAGCAGGAAAATAGCAAGAATGGTTCTGCTTATTGAAGCAAGAGGCAATGAAGCATCACTTCTTCCTTCTCTCTAATGCAGCATCTTTACCCCTCCGAGGCTGACATCCCACACCAGCCAGTCTATATGAAAACAAATCTTGTCTACTTGAATTAGGCTTCTAGTTCTGCAGGCAAGGAACATATGTATATAGAATAGATTGTTTTGTAACAGTAGCCTTGAGTCAATCAGCAGGGAAAGAATAGGTTTCAAGAATAAAGGAAGGTTCTGTTAAAAGGGAGAGGACACAGTAGGAAAGAAACAAACCTCCTTACCTTTCAGTCTGTCTTTTATTGTCTCTGATAAAGACATTGTAAGCTGAGGCATGTCGTTTGGAATGTACTGTACATTGGCCAGTTTCTCCTTCAGTATTGCACGGATGCATTCCTTTACTGTGGATGATTTAAATCTATCAGGCAATAAAACAGCAACAGAAAACCCAGAAAGTTCACACTATGTGTAGAAATATATGTAACTTTCACATATTAAAGAAAAATGAGAAATTAAAAACCACGGGGGAAAAAAGCCCAGCTGAGATGGAGATACTTAAGCAGCCCTGCCACAAGCTGAACACACACAAACATAGGTGTGAAACCAGCCCCTCCAGCAGCATCCCCTGCCTGTGCTCCCCTCCTCCCCCCCCGCCTCCCTTTGTCTGGTGTCAAATTTAGCCTGGGTCCCCATAGCCCCGGGGCTCCCCCATTCCTTCCACCCAGCGCACACGGCTCCATACCAGCCCCCGAGGCCCAGGGACACCCTTCCCCACAGCGCCACCGCAGCTCCCACCTCCCCCGCGCCCCGACCCAAAGCCGCCCTGGCGTCTCTCCGTTCCCGGCGCACCCTCTGCTCACCGGTGCTGGACGCTGGCCCGCAGGCTATACGTGTTCCCGGACCCATCATCCAAGCCCAGGCCGTCCATGGCCGCGGTGCCCCGCGGGCCCCCCCCCCCGGCGTTGGTTACTGTGGCAACCGCACCACTTCCGCCTCCTGCGCGTCACGCAGCACGTCACGGCGCTCGGCGCGGTGGGGCTCGCACGTGTCCGCGGGGCGCGGGAGGGATGGGCGCCCGCGACGTGGGCGTGGCGGGAGGTCACAGCGGGAGAGGCAGCGGCGGGGAAGGTAGCCGCGCATCGCTGGGTGCCTCCGCGCTGCCTTCCTGCCGCCAAAACCTCTGCGGCCGCAGCCCGTGCTTGCTGCCTCGCCCGGGCTTCGATGGGCTGCGGTGGCTGTGAGCTTGTCGCTGAGCGCTCCGGGTGCCAGCAGGGCAGGGTCCCCGTACCCAGAGATGCAGAGGGGCTGCGGCGGTGTCCCGGCCTCAGGAGCCTTGCTGAGGGAGTCCTGGTTCTGCAGGGGACAGTGGCTGCCGGCTTAGGGGGGCGCTGCCTGAAGTCTTTGCTGTTAAGAAGCCTGTTCCCCCAAATCCTGCCTGTGTGTTGCTGCTGCACCCTGTGCTCCCCTCCTGTCTCTGATCCATACTTCTAAACCATCAGTACAGAGAGACCAGTCTTGCTCCTTTCTTCCAGGAACTTCTTAAATCTTCCAGAAAGGCTTAAAAGTGTCACTCCCCAATATGCCCCCGTCCAGTCACATCCTTGTGCCCTTTTCCCTGCCCACAGCTGCTGACTGTCCCAAGGAGGGCTGTTGGGCGATGGCCACCTCCTGAGAAGCTGACTGACATCCTGCTTCCTTCGCTGTTTATCTTGGTGCAGCAATCTCTGTGATGATTCTTCCTACTTGCAGTGGGTGATGCTGCTAAGAAAGGTCCCTGGGTGCGTCACCCAGCTTCACATGGAAACAGTGTGAAGGTGTACCTGGTGCCAGTGTGGAGCATGCTGCTGCTCTGATGATGCCAGCATGTGTGGTAGGACTGAGGGCACTGAGCCTCTGTGGGCAGGGTGCTGCCTGGCCTTGCCACTTGGGAAGCAGGAGGTTTTGAGTTTTGCTTGGGATGCACAGATGCCTCTCAACTCATGCTAGGTCCTGCCCCAACCTGCTGTGAGCACAGGTGGGTTGCTGGGACCCTGAGCAGCAGTAGCATCTCCTGATTTCCACCGGCTTTAGCAGCACCATCTGCTAGAGATGGTCCATGGGAGCCCTTAGTACCTTTAGTAGCTGGGGATGAGCTCTGCCCGCCAGCAGAACAGGAACAGCACCCCACTGCCATGCCGAAAGTGGTGGTGGCCCCAAGCCATACCTGTGTGGCACCCTTGCATTGCAGTCACCATCACCCTGCCCAGACCCTGCAGATTTCCGCTTGCTAAAGGAACAGTTCTGTGCCTCCGCTCCATTCCTCCGCTTACTCGCTGCTTACTCACCACCCCAGGGCTGCTGGTGCTCATGCAAATTGTTTGCACAGGCCTTCCTAATTTCTGAGAAGTATCTGAAAGACCTCACTGCTCTCCTTGTTTATTTGCAAGCACTATTAACCATTTCCTCTTCCTGCCCCAGCCTGCTCCTCTCCTGCCTGGGTCAGACCAACAGATGTGAATTCAGTTAAACCAGCAGGGGAGGGATCTTTGGGACCTGTGGGTCTCTCTTCTTCAGCCTCTTTTGATGGTAAATTGTGTTCCCCATCTCATTTGGGAAGCTTTGCTTTCCTTGGGCTTTGAGGACATTCAGCTCTGTCCTTCAGCTGGCTCCATCCCAGTTGTTCGATCATTGCTTGCTTTTTCATCTTCCAAATTTTTAGTGCATGTTATATACCCCAGATGCTTTAAAGCCATTTTGGGACTGATGCTTGATCCTTTGAGGTGGTTCTGTGCCCCAGCAGTGAGGGCTGCAGGAGACCAGGGTCTTGTCCAGGTCTCAACCATGTCAGTGGGAACCTTGCCAACACATTGGGCAAGCTTCTTGTTGGGGGAAGAAGGACATTGTGCATCAGAAAAGTGGTGTGATGTTCTCACTGAAGTTCCTGTCTCTTAGTTTTGAAGAACAAACTGTTTTCTCCTCCTTCTTCCTCCTCTCCCATCCCTTCATTGTAGGAGTAGAGGAGTTTGAACTTGGTCAGAGTATACTGGTGGGACCAGGCTGCCAATAGGCACCCCATGGCTGCTCAGACCCTGCCTGGCTGCCCAGTGCCACATGTCCCCCCAGCACCACACTGCCATGGGCACTTCATGTGAGCACCCATGGATGCCTGTGAACCCAAGACCACCCTTTTACTTGTGAGCCAGGCTGGAGCTGAGGGTGTCCCCTGTGGTCCCTGCCTGCTCCATCCGTGGGAGCTTTCCCCCAGAAGTGCCTGTCCCCTCTGCTTAGCAGCCGTGTGCCTATGTGGGAGCACATGGGAGGGGAAGAGGCCAGGACTGGTTCAGCTGATCCCTGCCTCCGTGGGGAGGAAGCTGGGGGCGGGAGGCAGATGGGTTTCCCTCTGCAGCAGAGATGGGCATGTTTCATTTCCACCCCAGCTCCTGCTGTGCACATCAGAGAACAAGCCGCCGCTGTGGGGAAGGAAGCACAGAGAAGAGCTGGGGTGGCACAGCGCATCTGCCCGGGCAGAAGACTGACTGGCTCGCCATGGCTCTGGTTACCTCGAAGACGACGTGGGGCAGCATGGAGGTGACCTTGATCAGGCTCTGCACTGTCCTGCTCTGCTGTGGCCCTATGCTGGTTGGCTGCCGCCAGGGTAGGTACCGGAGCATGGTGTGGTTGTGACATGGCCTGTGTCATTCACAGTCAGTGGAAAATGTCTATGAGTTGGGAGCTTTGTAGTTAAAAATAGCTCTGGCATCAAGGAGGCAGAAAACCCAAACCTTTTGGGTACGTGTAGCTGAAGCAAGTGGAATGGGGATGCTTGGGGTAGAAACAGGGTTAAAGGATGGAGAAGGAGACAGGGTGCCAGCCCATGATGGCAGCACCTGAGATGTGCTATGGGCACAATTGGCTCTGTCTGAGGTTTGATGTTGAGCCTCTGGGTTTGCCAGTGCCATGCCAGGTCTGGGATTTTCTGCTCTGGGTCTCACAGTTTCAGGCTGCGCCTCCTGGTTTAGACTTGAGACTGAGGGAGTCAGGGTCCTGCATGTACTTTTGCTCAGGGTGAAGTCTGGGAAGGAAAGGGAGACAGAGAGGAAGGAGTGCGTCTGGGCAGACCGATCAAGAGCATGGTTTCATCAAACCCTGTCCCCACTTCCTCCCAGCCCATTTCTTTCTATGGTCACTTTGGGTGTTTTCTGACCCAAGGGTTGGTGCAGGTCTGGGTGTCCCTTGGAGCAGATGTTACCTTTGATGCTGAGAGGGTGCAGGGAAACATGTAAATCCAACCTCTGCTTTCAGAAGTCCTCTAAGTGCTTCACTCGTTGCTGGCAATGGTACTCATTAGGAAGAGAAGACCCAAGCCTGCAGAATATTTTCTGTTAAACACAAGAAACCCAAAACACTGCAAAAACTACATCTCTCAGTGTGGGCACTTAACTGTCAGTGGCTGTTTCTGAAAAGAGAAAAACTTCTTAATGACAGGAACTTTTCAAACCACTGGCAGTTTGAATTGCTTGGTCAGACAACCCATATGAAAAACGCTTCTTGCTTTTTATTGTTCCAAACCAAAGTTAATGCAGCAGCTGCCTTATCCTGCTGGATGGAGCTGGCTGAGCTGGGATGTTGTGAGCCTGGCCTGTGTTAGCAGCATCCCCACTGCCTGTGTGGGATGACCCCAGTGGGTTCACAGGACCCCCTGGTGTGGTTGGCTGGCTGCTCCTGTACATGGCAGGAGCTGGAAAGGGATGGTTACTGTAAGCTCCAGGTTCCTCTGCCCTTTCAGATGGTCTCAGGTGGGAGATGGCAAATACAGTGCCCTGGTCAACCCCTGCCCATGTTGTGTCCCAGCACAGAGAAGTGGGCAGACCTGGAGCACCCCACAGGCAGCTGGGCACACAATGGTCTGCACTGCAGGGTACTGCCCCAGTCCAGGACTGAGTCCTGGTGGTCCCTCTGCTCACTTTCAGAGGCAGAATCAGCTGGAGGAAGGATGACTCAGACATTAACACACAGTATAGATTTAAAAATAATACAACGCCCTAGGTCTGTTTTCCCTGGTATGGGGAACCCTGGTTCAGGGTTAATTTTACGTAGCCCAGAGCAAAATTTGCTCTGCTGAAACCAATTCTTGGTACAGTTACTACCCAAGGATCCCCCTTCAGCTGGCAGGCACAGACTTGGGAGGGGAGAGACAAGGGCTGATGTCCCTGAAATGTAGAATGATGCTGTGGACTGGCCTTGCATTCCTGGTTCCCAGCAGGGAGTACAGCTGTTTCTGAGACCTGTGCCTGCTGTAACCATGTCTGTGCCTTGTTTCCTCTCTTCCAATCAGTGACCTTCTTCCCAGCAATGTTAACTCTCCCTGCAGGTGGCTCAGCCACCTTCTTCTGCAATATCTCCATGGAGAACGAGTCCAGCTCAGAGTACAGCCTCAATTGGTACAAGGAGACCAACCATAGCCAAGCCCAAAAAATCGCTGAGATTGGCCACCAGATCAGCCAGATCAACGGCCAGGTGAAGACAGAGAAGTACCTGCTCACCAACCACACTCCTGCCTTCAAGCTTGAGATCCTGAACCTCCACCAGAACGACTCAGGCTCCTACTTCTGTGGTCTGATCACCTTCTCTGAACACAATAATGTGATGGAGAGCAATAGATCCCAGCTGGTGGTCACAGGTCAGCCTGGGGACTGAGCTGATGGGGACACATGGTGCTCTCAAGCATGCTATAGCCCCAGGGCATAAGGCAGACACTACCCTGCTGGGGGAGGACCTGCTGTGGATCAGGGGAGCGCAGCTCTGTCTTTTCCCCTTGCCTTTGCATGCAGGCAAGTCCTCCCATATCCACACTGGCTGTCCTCCCATATCCACACTGCAGCTGTATCTGGTCCTGAGGCCAGAGAGCGCCATCCCACTAGGGTTGTTCTGCTAGTGATGTTGTAGAGAGGAGCGAGTCCTGACTCATGGATGGTGGCAGGAGACCGGCACAGGGAGATGCTTCCACTCACACATGGAGGCAGGAGACAAGTATAGG